CTTGGAAACGACGTGCTTAACATAAATTCTACCAAATTAATTAATGAGATAAAAATGGAAAAAACCGGAAAGTTAAAAAACTATAAAGCGAGTTTAAAATTAAAAGAAAATGTCTCTCCCTCTTATTATGAGGCACGAAAATTACCAGTACATTTGTTGCCTTTAGTAGTAAAAAAGCTACGAAAATTAATAGAACAAGACTTTCTTGAACATGTTTCCTCTGGGGGTAGCAAGTGGGCATCACTCATTGTAGTTTTGAGGAAGACAGATGGTGATTTACGTATTTGTGGAGATTATAAAATAGGCGTAAATCACAAAGTTTGTTCGGATTCATATCCTATACCGAATTTTGAAGTTGCATTACATGCACTGGCAGGAATAAACGTTTTTACAAAAATAGATTTAAAAACGGCATACCACCAAATACCAATAGATGATAACTTCAAAGAAGTAACCATAATAAATACGCCAATAGGGTTACTAAGATGGAAAAGGATGTAAACCGAACGGGTTAGCGGAAAGAATGGTGTAGACCGTAAAAACGGGACTAAAAGCATACTCCCAGCAAAAAGAAAAAGTAGAAGATTTTGTTATATAACTTAAATCATGTTTCAGGACACGACTTTGAAGGACAAAGTGGAAAATTGTTTTTATTTTTCACTATTAAATTAAAAATAATTTTCGGTACATCACACACACACACACACACACACACATATATATGGAGGAAAATACGTATGGCAAAGTTAGTGCGCCTACACTTGCGCACGAACGACATACGTTGGGATTTTTAAATTTCATTATTTTATGTGCTATTTAGTATATAATCTAGACAATAAAAGCAATATCTAAACATTTCCGTTTTAGTGAATTGTTTTCTCTAGTTAATAAGAGTACTGTTTCTATATGAAAATTGTGGCCATTCTCGTTACGGTGAGGAAATAATGTATTTAATGTGTTATTTTGTAAAACAACAATTTTGTGTTCATATAATTTTTTATTTAAATTTTTTGAGGTTTCTTTAATGTTTTTTTTTCTGGCAATCATTACGAGTACACTTCCTTTCCAAGTCTTAGGTTATTGCTTTGTTTTGTATTGATTAAGTCTTTTTATTATGTTAGGCATACTAGTGATAGATTTTATGTTGAGTTTAGATAAATTCATTTCATTTGTAGTTATGATAGTTACTGAGTAGAACAATATATTTTTGATTCGTTAGGTGTGTCAGAAAGGACCGCTTTTTATTTTTGAATATTTTATGAGCCTTTTGTCTTGCATTGAATATGCTATAGTTAGGTTATTGGGGATCTTGACAGTATTTTGAATATTTTTCTACTCTTCACGTAAATATTATGGGCTGCAAATTCTGAGTGTTCTTAAGCAGAATCTGATGACTATTTCAAGTTTCATTTTGTTGTTATGGTGAGAATAGAAATTTATAAGATCATATTTGTTAGTTCATTTTCGGTGGACACTAACTTTTCTTCCATTTCGTATATAAATTCTATTGTATATTCGACTTTGTTTAGCTTATCTACAAGATCATGTAAATCAATATCAGAAGAATAGAGCATCATCAATATATCGGAAGTATGTTGATTGTTTAAGTAAAATATTTTGGAAAGGACCAGATTCGAAAAATTAATGTAATGAACTCGAGTGGAATTCAAACTCTGGTCTCCGATCCGCTATCCATTGCATCAGCCATACGTTCATTCAAATCAAATGCATTTTGTGAGAACGCTAAACAAAGTACTAAATTTTGAAGGACGGTATTCACTTCATATTCACAGAGAACTGCTTTTTAAAATACGTATAGATAATATTAATATGATTAAATTATATATAATTAATAATAATTAGGAATATAGGATATAACCCAATTCTGTTAGAACGCTTGTTTTAATTTCTAATCAATGAGAATTCTCTTCCTTTTTAATTTTTGACCAATGGCAATGCTTCCATTTTTTTTATTTGATTTTAAATGCATAAAGTAGTATCTAATTAAAACATTTTAAAATTCGTTGCTTCTTCGTGACGTTAATTCCTTACAAGCAGACATATTTAAACTGACAGGGTAGAAAATAACAAAATGTGGGGAGAGATAGGTAGCATTAAAATCAACGGGAGGTATTTAGTAAAGCCGACATTTTATCTAAAAGTAACGGCTACAAATGCATTTCGTCGTTAAATTACAACCGCATTTATTATTTCATTTTTCTTGTCGATATAATTTGCCGTGTCACTTCATAAGTATTCAGTGAAGCGAATAAAAATTTTGATAGATACGCTTCATATCACGGGTTCATATCACCTTATGTCACATTAGCAATAAATTTACGCGGGATATAAATATATTTATAGGATAAATATATGATGTAAGATTCAGCTTATAATATCTATTTTTATTAAAAATATTGATAACGTGCTTTGGTCGGTATGAGGCCTTATGCGACTAAGTGCAACATCTATTTTTATTTAGAAATATATCAAAATTATAAAGTCTACAGAAAGATATATATCTTTTTTCTAAAGAAAAAATGGGTTTTTTATTTATTAAACCGACATATTTTTATCCCATTAAACGTTATTTTAATGGATACCCATATCAGAGCAAACGATATATATTTTCTTTTTTTTAAAGAAAAAATGGGTTTTTATGTATTAAACAGACAATTTTATCCCATTAAACGTTATTTTAATGGATACCCATATCTGAGCAAACGATCCGTTTATTTTTAATAGGATTTTATTTCATCTACCGGCCTGAATATTCGAGAAAAAATTTAAAGAAAAATTCACGCTCGATAGGATTCGAGCATGCGTTCCACTTTGCAGGCGATACCGTTGTTAGATCCGACATATTTTAATCAACTCGGATACAGAGATAGTGATTAAGCGAGGTTGTACAAAACCTTTCTTTATCACGAAATAAAATACTGTTTAAAATAAACGGTGCATCTACTCAAATATGGTTATCACGTAAAAATAACGTTTAAAGTTATAATACATATATATATATATATATATATATATATATATGAAGCTGACATGTTTCACTTTTATTAAAGCTTTGTCAGAGAATGAGATACGGAAAAAAGAAAATACCAGGATTTATTTTTCATTTTCTCCATATTTCAAATATATGAGAAGGCTTTAATAAAATTTAAACATTTTAGACTGATAAACGTTTCCTATTTGTTATTTATCTTATTCTGCTAGATTTCGACCCATATTTGATCTCCACACACACACACACACACACACATATATATGTTTCATTGAATAATATAGACATATTATGTCTATTTATTTCGATAATAATCCCTTTTATTTCTCTGATTATTTTCTTGATATTAAATTGAAATTCATCAAGGAATTTAGACTTAACATCAAGAAGAAATATGTCTATACTATTAAATGAAACATGCTTGAATGAAGACAAATTGCCTATATACATACATATATATATATATATATATATATATATATATATATATATATATATATATATATATATATATATAGGAGAGAGAGAGAGAGTTGATTAACTCAATAATCCATATTATTCATATCATACGCCTGAATAAATAATTTTACATTTACATACAGCTTTTGAAATTCTGTAATTTTTCATCATTGGAATTTTCATTTACTTAGTTTGCGAACTTTTCAACTATTTTCTTTTCTTTTCAACAATATTTGTAGTAGTTTGGAATTATCTTTTTAGCTGAGTATTGTTTTTCCTTCTCATAGACATTGTCTTTTAATGGTAGACCATAAGTTTTCTATTGGTTTAACGTCTGGAGTGGCTAAAGGCTAATCTATTAATTTGGCGTCTTTGAAACATTTAAAGGTTAAAATTGCAGAAAGTAAATGTCTTGCCTGAATATACCCTTCAGCTTAAAGATTCCTTACTTGGAATTATAACATTCAACAACCATTTTCTCTAAAAACTCACAATAATAATCTACATTTATCTTGATACGAGCATCAACTTTGCAGAAAGTTTGTAATTTATCTGCTTTCAATAAAAGCCCGAAATCTTACTGCATCTCCTCGCTATTCTTGTAAGTCGTAATTCTTGTATTTACATGATTGACTTTACATCTCGACGAGCCGTCAAGTTCGTCTTATGTAGCTCAAAAATTATTAATAAATAATTACTTTTGAGAAATGTATTCAATTCCTAACTTACACCTTGTAATGACAAAAGCACGTAGGTCTAAACTTTAAGAAAGCTTTATTCAACTGAGAATACAAGGTTCGCGTATAGTGTCCTTTTATAGTCCCAGTAAACAGAAGTAGCTCCCTCAAAGAGGAGATGAAGAATATAAGGGAAGAAGTCTCTTGATTATTCATAACACATGTTTCCCCGGGTGATGTTTAATTACATGTTGTAGTTACGCTTATTTTTCTTAATTATTTTCCTTTTAATTATTCTTTAAACTCTTTTGTAATATTCTTAAAGACACGGTGTTTACTTGGTCTTATCTTGAAAATGTTTCCACTTTTTCTTTTGACTGTTCTACGACCTCTCTTTAATTTTGAGGGCTGTGATCCCATTCACTTAATAACTTTATAATATCTTGATTCTCATTTGAGATAATATGTCAATCTTTATTTATGTAAAATTAAAAATAATTGTGATATTCTACTACATACATACATACATACATAAATACACCCCCCACTATATCTAAAATTTTTGAATAAATCAGTAACATTTGTGATTTTGTATACTTCTCACAAAATAAAATCCTTACGTTAGTTTTTATAAAGCTCCTCAGAGAACGAAACGCGTCGGCTAAAATAGATTTCCCTTTTTCTTTTATACTATTTGAGATTTTAGACGCAAACACACACACACACACACACACACACACACACACACACACACACACACACACACACATATATATATATATATATATATATATATATATGGTGGAAACACATTTGCATAATAAAATCCCACATTACCAAATAAAGAATTAAGGTGACACCACGTTGGAACACCGATTCTCGTAGGATCACTGAAGTTAAACAACATCGAGCCTGGTCAGTACCTTGATGGGTGACTACTTGGGAATGAGCGGGCGCTGTAAACTTGGATCAGCATGTGGTGTGATAGATAATAAATAGAGATCGGAATTGTTAATCGGAATGCTGAGTTTCAATTCCTGTCGGGTTCGTTATTTTCACTTATTGGGGCAGGTATGAATTCACCTAATCTCCCCCAGTTGTGGGTTAATTATTAAGGCTTGTATTCCTAAACCGTTATTACCTCCCAACCCGACCAAAATATTATTCTTTCAAACTAAAATATTTTCTGGCTTTAAGTAACCTGTAAAGAGTTGTTAAGATGTAGAAATCATTCAGTAAAAAACCAAAAAAAAAACCCCCAAACAAAACAAAACAAAAAGAAACACTGCCAAATAAGTATCTAATAAAACTCAATATTATAAACTGAAAGAAATTTAACTGACACACATTCATGATTCATACTTGAACTAAATCATCAGCGTTCGGCCCACATGAGCCACCCTCAGAGTGATTATACAGACATGAAACAAAGATATCCACCGTCAAAGATGATATTTTGTTATTTTGATATAGAAAATTGCTATGCCACGATAACGGTCGCAGAGTTCCAGAGAGAGATCGTAAGTTCAAGATGAGGTTCTGTGACGTCATACCAGGCGAGAGACCGAAGTATTACAACAGAACCAATGTCTAGATGCTATGTAATGTGTTGTGACTTGTTTGAAATGAAATGTAAAATTGTTGAGTGTGGGTGGCTTTGTTTTAATGTAGATGGCCTCCGATATATGTATTTTTTTTTGTTTACTGTGTGTTTTTCTGAGTATGATTGTGTTATCAACTAACATCTGTCTAATATTATGTACATGGCTATATTTTATTTTCACCAGAAATTAAAGCAAACATTCAAACATTAGAACGGCTTATGATCAGATATAATAGACATTCATTGTTTGTTATATTTAATAATATATGTTTAAATAATGATCTGTTGCTACTCAATACTATATATATATATATATATCTATACTATATATATATATATATATATATATATATATATATATATATATAATGTGAAAAATGTGTATATATATAATATAAAAGTGTATAATATATATATATATATATATATATATATATATATATATATATTATATGCGCGGTACTTATTAGAAAGCGCTCAATATCAGAGATAGAGTTAACATATTTGGTTGGATAGGTTTGAGTTGTTGACCCTGGGTTTCACGCTTTAGCTATCGTCAGACAAAGATATATATATATATATATATATATATATATATATATATATATATATATATATATGTCTCATTAAATATATATATATGTCTCATTAATAATTTATATATATATTTATATAATTTATAATATATATATTTATAATTTATAATATATATATTTATAATTTATAATATATATATTATATATTATATATATATATATATATATATATATATATATATATATATATATATATATATATATATATATATATATATATATATATATATATATATCTCAATAAATAATTTACACAAGTTTTATCTACTTATACCACTACCACGTTGTCTCGTATGTTGGGTTTTCATTTGAATGATGCATCTAACATCTCTGAACATTTGCAACAGCATGCCTGTTCATATTCGCAATTTAGGAAAATTCTTGTTGAGCTATAATTATTTTTCCATGAAAATAATAAACATAGACTAAAAATTCTTGAACCTATCTATATTAAAAAACTGAAAGAAACCCTTAATAAAATTAATTATGGATACTGCACAAATGTTTTAAAAGGTTTACAGTCGATAGTTTAAAATAGCTTTTTTCTTCTTTAAAAATATTCCGACATTGCCATAACTTAGTTATTTCCCTTGACATTTGTACGTGAGCTTATATGACAAAACTTAAAATTTTACAGTACATAATCTTACAGTTTTTCAATTCATACTTAAAAATTTAATTTTCAAATGAACACAGAAATTTTGTATTGGAAAAAACACGACCCTGATGACGACATTGTGCTAATGTTGAAAGTACTTGAAATAAAATGAATATGCATGAATTTTCTTTCTTCCTTTAAGAAATTTGTCCGTAATTATGGGAGGATCCTATGAAAAATAAGTAGACAAAACTTGTCTAAATTATTTAATGCGTTATGTCTTAATGAAAACATTCTGCCAAAATATACTGAATATATATACGCAACACACTCTCTCACACACAGAGACACAGACACATACACACACACACACACACACACATATATATATATATATATATATATATATATATAAAGAAAAAAATTGTACCACAGAATTTATATTTTGATTTGAAAATGACAGAACGCATTCTTTTAATGTAAAAGTTTTGTCAGAAAAGTTTCGTTGGGACATGTTTTTTTTTTGTTTTATACTCACCTTATTTACACAGTTTATTTACACCAATTTTTGTTTTTACAAATAAATTCATTGCTTCTTATTACTACCGTGTTTACTTTTTCAGTTACGCCGTTAAAGACCCAAATATGAAAATTGAATAAAAAACAGACATTCATTCCAACTGGAAATATTTAATGTATGGATTAACCCCTTGAAAAGTTGACATTATCACGAAACTGAGGAACAGGGAAAATAAAAAACAGTTAAGTAATTCTTTTGTACATGTCAAAGATATTATATATATATATATATATATATATATATATATATATTTAATATGAAAATGAGAATTTAAAAAAAATTTTTCTCTCTCTTTATATATATACTGCATAATTATAAGGCCAGCTGAATTTTATTTTTGAGTTTTTTAATATTTTGTATATTATTATATATAATTAATAATCCGAAAGTTTCAAATGATTGTTATGAGTAGAAAATCAATTATTGTAAAATTATTTAAAAACTCAAAAAAAGATTGGTCCGTAATTATAAGGTCTTTTAAAAAAGAGTGCACTGCAAATTAAAATTATTTAAATCAACAATCGCTTAAAATATTATAAATTATTATTAATAACTCACCAGAATTTGCGCATAAAGAAATTGACAAAAACTATGCCTTTGGGTACAAAATTAAGTGAATTTGAAAAAAGGTCAAATAATCGCACTCAAAAATGAAATTTTGAGTAGAAGAGAAATTGCTTTGAGGATTAAGCGTTCAAAAACGGTTATTAACAACTTTTTATTAAACATGGAAGAATATGGAACCAGTAAAAGTGCCGGAAGAAGCAAGAAATTAAGTGACAGAAATGTCAGAACGATCAAACAAGAAGTAAGCAATGCCGTCACATCGTGTTCCAAGATTCAGGCAACTCTGGAATTGGATGTTCCACGCTGGACGGTTTGGAGAGAACAGATCGTCTGCGTTCAGTTATGGCAAGCTTCTGAACGCTCCATGTTTGACTGAGCACCATATGTCAGATCGCTTCAATTGGACCAAATCTCATATGACTTGGGACAAGCAATGGGAAAGTGTGGCATTTTCTGATGAAAAAAAAATTAATTTGGATGGTCCGGATTGGTTATCTTATTATTGGTATGACCTTAGAAGAAGTTGGTCTTTTCCAAGCGTGTGCAAGGAGGAGGGAGTGTTATGATTTGGACGGAATTCGGATTCGAAGGCAAAACTCCAATTGTTTTCATTCATACAAGACTTGATGCTTTGGTTATCAGAATTTGTCTTCTGCTGCTCGCTTGCCTTATGGAAGAAAAAAAAACTGGTGGTCGAAATTGGGTGTTTCGGCAAGACAACGCTCCTGTTCACAAAGCAAAGTCAAGCTAACTGAATCAATGTTATGGATTGGCCCGCCAGATGACCCGATCTCAATTCTGTCGAGAACCTTTGGGGGATATTGGTTAGACAAGAATGGGCAACAATTTAATAACAAGGAAAATATTGAAAGCCTGAGATTCAGTTAAGAAAACGACATTCAGAAGTTAATCTATTCTATGAAAAATAATGTTTAAATTAATAGCCAATCACGGAAAACAAACTTTTAATTAATTTCTATATATTCTTAGAGTTTGTCACTTTTGTAATACTTTTTTTTAATGGCCTTATAATTATGCACCAATCGTTTTTCGAGTTTTTGAATAATTTTACAATAACTGATTTTCTCCTCATAGTAATTATTTGAAACTTTCAGATTATTAATACCATATAATAATATACAAAATATTTAAAAATAGCTCAATTGCTAGAGTTTTAAAGAGAAATTTTCAGCTGGCCTTTATAATTATGCAGGGCACACACACACAATATATATATATATATATATATATATATATATATATATACATACATACATACATATATATATATATATATATATATATATATATATATATATATATATATATATATATATATATATATATATATATATATATAAAGAGAATAGAGAGAGAGAGAAACAGAGAGAGATAGAGGGGGAGAGTGATGATTAAATAAGGTAACATTGTGAGTATTGACAAACTTTTCACAGTTCTAACTATATAATATATTAATATATTAAAGCAAAAATTACTTAGCCGATAAACGGCGGGTATCATTATTTGGTATTTCAGTGGAGATCGGAGCACTATCATCAATTGAGAGTTTAAATGTTTTTTTTCAACGCTGCCTGCATCATTCATTCATGATCCATGTATAAATGTCTGGCAATTCTAGGATTCATGTGGTTACTCTTTACTAATATTCATAAGGTTAAACCATCTCCCGGAATATTTGCTTGCAAATGAAACCAGAAGAACAAATAAAGTACTTTGCTCTGCCTGTATGCGTAGAAGAAGAAATTGGTAAACACTAGTGACAATTTGGAGGAATGTCTGGAGAACTCTAATGTGTATGGTTTGGTATGTGTGGTTTGTTTAACGGCATATCAACTCCTTATGGGTCATTTAATGCTGAAATTTTATTTTCTTGTGAGCTTTGGTATTTTTTTCTTTTTCTAAAAATGTAGTGCTGCTAATTTGTATTTTATTTTTATTTTTTTTACTATTGCTGGTAATTTTTCTAATGTATTTTTATATTATCATAATGTTTTGAA